CTCCCTCACCACCGTCCTCCTCTCCCTCCTCACCACCGTCCCTCTTCCCTCCCCTCACCACCGTCACTCTCCCTCCCCTCACCACCATCCTCTCTCCCTCCCCTCCCATCCACTCCCTCCCCTCCCCCACCACCTCCACTCTCTCCCTCCCTCACCACCGTCCACTCTCCCTCCCTCCCACCACCGTCCTCTCCTCCCTCCACCACCTCCCTCCCCTCCCCTCCTCCTCCCTCCCTCCCTCCCTCTCTCTTGGGTTGCCTCACTCCTTTTACAACAGGAAGACAGACAGGTAGGAGCTAGTACCCACCATCTATATATCCAGTTCACAGTCGTATGTTTACTAATGTGTGGCCTGAGAGAGAAGAGAGAGAGAGAGAGAGAGAATACACAAATATATTTCACACATCACTAAACACTGATTTAACGTATATTCATGAAGGTAATACACACATCCACAGGTACCCACACACACCCAAAGTACCCACATACCCCAGAGATACCCAGTGATAAACGACCCACCACAACTCAGACAGACCAATCCCGGACACTAATGCACCTGAGCTTGTAATTACAGGGAAGCTCGCCCACATACACTAATGAGGTGATGCGAGACCTGGGGGGGGAGGTGTGTAGTGCTTAATATGGTGTTGTAGAGACAGTGACAGGTGGTGTAGTAGAGACAGTTGGACAGGTGAGGGGGAGGAGACAGTGGACAGGTAGGGGGTGGTGGAGAGACAGTTGGACAGGTGAGGGGTAGTGAGAGACAGTTGGACAGGTGAGGTGTTGTGAGAGACAGTTGACAGTGAGGGGTGTTATGAGAGACAGTTGACAGGTGAGCTATTAGGAATCAGTGTTACTAGGCCCCATTAGTATTTCTCTCTCTCTTTCTGGTGCCATCTCTCTCTCTATTCCCTCTTTCTCACCTCTCTCTCTCGTTACACACACACCCAGCAGTTGACACACACACACACACGCTAAAACAGCACATCGACCCAACTTAAGTATAACATCAACTCTTATCACACCCTCATATCAGGAGGTGAAATCAAACACGAATTTCCAACACCGACAAGGAAAGACTCGTGCAGCTACACCATGCATGCAACAGGGCAATGCAACCTTACCTCTTGCACAACCTCTCATCCTCATCCCAGTACAGTCCCCTTCACTAGTGCGTTTACAGGGGGTCGTTAGGTGTTGTGCAGTGTGGCAGCGCTGTGTTTGTTTACATTCGACAGAAGGAAACTGGCAAAAGCAAACGTACTATGGAATCAAAGTACAAGAATAGAAAAACAAGTGACTCGAAGATAATTATTTGTGGAATGTTTTTATGACGAGTCGCTGTAAACGCACAAGTGAAGGGGACTGTACATCGTTATATTTACCACAGAACGAAAATAAATTAACATTACGAAGAAAAAAATGCAACAGTGATTCGAATGGTGATTGGGAACTGATTAGCATAACTGGTCCAATCAGGTAGTGTGTGAGCTACTACTATACACCGTTCACATGAGTTTTACAATCAGAGCCCGGAGTAGATTTTTATCACTGCATCTGATTGGCTAGCGAGGAATGAGACACGTCGGGTTAATATAAAGCTCTTCCTTATAAAATTGTCCCCCTTTCTCCTCCCCCCTCTAGAATGACTCGACCAATCACAACCTTCCATTCATTTGGCTCAGTTACAAGTATAGAGTAAACAAAATATAATAGTCGAAAATAACAAGCTCTCTCTCTCTCTCTCTCTCTCTCTCTCTCTCCCTCCCGACATAACAAAAACACAAAATCATGAATTCTTCAGGGTGAGGTGCACCTTGGCGCTGAGGAGGTCAGGCATAGTTGACAGCCACGCCAGACTATCCTTATCTACGGGGTTACTTGACTAATATAGGAGAGGGTGCAGACTTGAATTACTGTCTGTAGCCATCACGACCGTCATCTTAAATACCTGCCCACTCTCGCTAGCTCCTCCTACCTGTCTCTACACCATATACACACACACACACAGAGACACATACACACAGCCTTTAAAACCATGACAGTATCCCATTTTCAAAAACAGGAGAAGGAGGAGGAGGAGAAGAAGGAGAAGAAGAGGAGAGGAGGAGGAGGAGGAGAGGAGGAGGAAGAGGAGAGAAGGAGAAAAGGAGAAGAAGAAGAAGAAGAAAAAAGAAGAAGAAGAAGAAAGAAAGAAGAAGAAAGAAAGAAAAAGAAGAAGAAGAAGAAGAAGAAGAAGAAGAAGAAGAAGAAGAAGAAGAAGAAAGAAGAAGAAGAAGAAGAAGGAAGAAAGAAAAAAAGAAAGAAGAAGAAGAAAGAAGAAGAAGAAGAAGAAGAAGAAGAAGAAGAAGAAGAAGAAGAAGAAGAAGAAGAAGAAGAAGAAGAAGAAGAAGAAGAAGAAATAAAAGAAAAAAAAGAAGAAGAAGAAGGAAAAGAAATAAAGGAAGAAGAAGAAGAAGAAAGAAAAGAAAGAAAGGAAAAAGAAGAAGAAGAAGAAGAAGAAGAAGAAGAAGAAGAAGAAGAAGAAGAAGAAGAAGAAGAAGAAGAAGAAGGAAGAAGAAAAAGAAGAAGAAAAGAAGAAAGAAAGAAGAAGAAAAGAAGAAAAGAAGAAGAAGAAAAGAAAAAGAAGAATAAAGAAATAAAGAAAAAAAAGAAGAAGAAGAAAAAGAAAGAAAAGAAGAAGAAGAAAGAAAAGAAGAAGAAGAAGAAGAAGAAGAAAAAAATAAAGAAGAAGAAGAAGAAGAAGAATAAATAAATGAAGAAGAATAAAGAAAAAAAGAAGAAAAGAAGAAGAAGAAGAAGAAAAGAAGAAAAGCAAAATAAAGAAGAAGAAGAAGAAGAAGAAGAAGAAGAAGAAGAAAGAAGAAGAAGGAAAGAAATAAATGAAGAAAAAGAAGAAGAAGAAGAAGAAAAGAAAAAAAGAAAAGAAGAAGAAGAAAAGAAGAAGAAGAAGAAGAAGAAGAAAAGAAGAAGAAGAAGAAGAAGAAGAAGAAGAAGAAGAAGAAAGAAGAAGAAGAAGAAGAAGAAGAAGAAAAGGAAGAAAAGAAAAGAAGAAAAGAAGAAGAAGAAAGAAGAAGAAGAAGAAGAAGAAGAAGAAGAAGAAGAAGAAGAAGAAGAAGAAGAGAAGAAGAAGAAGAAGAAGAAGAAGAAGAAGAAGAAGAAGAAGAAGAAGAAGAAGAAGGGAGAAGAAGAAGAAGAAGAAGAAGAAGAAGAAGAAGAAGAAGAAGAAGAAGAAGAAGAAGGAAGAAGAAGAAGAAGAAGAAGAAGAAGAAGAAGAAGAAGAAGAAGAAGAAGAAGAAGAAGAAGAAGAAAGAAGAAGAAGAAGAAAAAAAAGAAGAAGAAGAAGAAGAAGAAGAAGAAGAAGAAGAAGAAGAAGAAGAAAAGAAGAAAAAAAGAAAAGAAAGAAGAAGAAGAAGAAGAAGAAGATCATCACCACTACTCACGTATCAGAAAGGTGTGTGTGTGTGTGTGTGTGTGTGTGTGTGTGTGTGTGTGTGTGTGTGTGTGGAAAAATTAGACCTTATGAATAAATAACACAGCAGGAGGAGCCCAATCACCCAATCCTTATATGAAACAGCGCCATTATGCAGTGACCTAACAGTGCCATTACAGTGACCTAAATGAATCCCTGAACACATTGCCTCGGTATGATTGGCGCGTCAGAAATGAATCTCCAATCCAAATTAGATAAGGAGTAAGCATTCTGTCCGGGGAGACATTCTGTCCGATTCTTGGGGAGTTTGGCGTTGGGACCACACCTACCATACATACACACACATACATATCACGCACAAACAAAGCACACACGCATACAAAACATACACAGATATAAAATACACATGCATACAGTCTCATACAAAACACACACAAATATACACACACTCTCCTGTTTCTTCTCTCTCTCCTCCCCTTTTTTCTTCTCCTCCTCCCTCTTTCTTTACCTCATATCCCACCCCATCTCCTCTCCCACCTCTATCCCACTTCTCCTATTTTACCCTCATCCCACCCTATCCATTCCTCCCACCCTCCTTCTATCCCTTCTACCACTACAACTAACACGACAGGAAGCCATGACCTATCCAAGCCTCCCCCTTAAAAGAAGGTAAGGTATGTAGATAAGAGGGTGACATCGAACCCGTGTTCTCGACTGATGGTGCATTAGTAGGAGAGTCACGACCCACTGGCCCACCGTGTCTCTAAGTAGGTCACCTGCGCCGGCTAGCACTATGTCTGCTCACTCCTGACTCATTTGCGGTTTAGTTTATCGAGTGAGTGAATGGGTATGTATGTATGTATGTATGTATGTATGTATGTATGTATGTATGTATGTACAGTGAACAACCCACCTACCCACGACTATCCCATTATGAAAGGACTTTAATAAGACACTAACAAACAGACAGACAGACAGACAGACAGACAGACAGGCAAACAGACAGACAGACAGACAGATAAACCAACTCACCACAAGACTCTGGACTAACACAGACACTGAGTGACCTGACCAGACAGTGAGTAATGACTTGTAGGTGTGACAGGTGAAGTAATGTTGAGTATATGAGTTTCAATGATGACCAAGTTTATGGTTTAAAAGTTTCAGTGTTTAAAAGTTTCAGTGTTTAAAAGTTTCAGTGTATAAAAGTTTCAGTGTATAAAAGTTTCAGTGTATAAAAGTTTCAGTGCTTAAAAGTTTCAGATGTTTAAAAGTTTCAACATATACCAACAAAAGGCAAGACAAAACATACAAAACAAGATTTCAACACCCCAAAAAGTTTCAGAAAACCATAAAGTTTCACACCCAAAAAGTTCTGAAAATACTAAAACTTTTAAAGGCAACAAAAAGTTTTATGACAAAGTTTTAAATAATAAGTTTCACCACACCAAAAAGTTCCAAAATACCAAAACTTTTCCAGTCATCAAAAAGTTTCAAAATACTTTACAAAAGAGTTCCATGACAGATACTAGGTAAGATAAGGTTAGGTTAGGTTAGATGTACTCACGGCACTGGGTCGTCCCTGGAGAGGCCAGCAGCACGGAGGTGGTCCTGTAGTGAGGGGAACACGGCGGCACAAGACTTGGACCTCTCACTGCGACCCACGATAGGCTGTAGTGTACAAGACTGAGTTACACACCTGAGTTACACATCTGGCTTACACATCTGATTTATACACCTGAGTTACACACCTGAGTTACACATTCGGCTTACACATCTGATTTATACACCTGAGTTACACATCTGACTTACACACCTGAGTTACACATCATGAGTTACACATCTGACTTACACACACCTGAGTTACACATCCTGAGTTACACACCTGAATGTTATCATTTATCTATGGTCATCCTTCAATACTAATTAAGGATAATTTTCAATATTATAAACTATTATTATCATCATCATTATTATTATTATTATTATTATTATTATTATTATTATTATTATTATTATTATTATTATTATTATCATCATTATTATTATTATTATTTTTATTATTATTCTCATTACGAACATATATTTTTATTAGTAGTATTATAATCTGCAATAGTACTTTTACATTAGATTATAAACTACGTATTATTATTATCATTATTATTATTATTCTATTATTATTATTATTACTATTACTATTAATATTACAATCTGTTATTTTTACATTTTACAATACATATATTACTATTATTATTATTATCACACACACACACACACACACACACACACACACACACACACACACACACACACAACACACACGTCATCACTCATGCCCTCTTTGTCTAAATAAGGGATGTGACCAGTCGGAGGCAGTTTGTCTGTGTGTCTGTATGAGAGGAGGAGCAAGTCACGGCGGGAGAGTGATCGTGGGAACAGGCTAGTGGTGTGTGACCGCGAGAACATGTGCAGAGAAGGACCAAGAAAATAGCTGTTGGTTTATAGAATTCATCCTGAGAGGTCACATGGTCATCCTGAGAGGTCACATGGTCATCCTGAGAGGTCAAATAATCCCCATTCTGACTTAATGTTGGAATAGGAAGTGAAGATTTGAGAGGAAAGGAAGGGAGGGAAGAAGGAAAAGAGGGAGGAGGGAACGAGAAAGGAAGGAAGGACCAAGAGGCCTTTGGCATTATTGCAAATTTTTCGCAGCAAGCAAAAAAAATTTTAGCTAACAGGACGCAATTTTTATCTACAGGTCGTGCCGGAAGTGAAAGGTTGGGAAGTAAATGACAGGTCGGGCCTTAAGTGACAGGTCATGCCGTAAGTGACAGGTTGGGCGGTAAATGACAGGTCGAGCCTTAAGTGACAAGTCATGCCATAAGTGGCAGATTGGGCGGTAAATGACAGGTCGGGCCTTAAGTGACATCATGCCGTAAGTGGCAGGTTGGGCGGTAAGTGACAGGTCGGGCCTTAAGTGACAGATCATGCCGTAAGTGGCAGGTTGGGCGGTAAATGACAGGTCGGGCCTTAAGTGACAGATCATGCCGTAAGTGGCAGGTTGGGCGGTAAATGACAGGTCGGGCCTTAAGTGACAGATCATGCCGTAAGTGGCAGGTTGGGGTGTAAGTGACAGGTAGGGCCTTAAGTGACAGGTCGGGCATTAAGTGAGAGGTCGGGCATTAAGTGACAAGTCATGCCGTAACTGACAGGTCGTGCCTTAAGTGACAGGTCGTGAAGCGTTTACCTCGGTGGTGTTGACGGACGAAGTGGAGGCTCCTGTAGTGGTGGCAGCAGCAGGGGTGATGGCTGAAGTAGGAGTAGAGGCGAAGGGCTCTACCTGTGGGATGGTGGGACTGACAGAGGGGCTGGGAGAGGTGAGGGGACTGGGGGTGACGGGGATGGTGGGGACTGAGGAGGCATTGAGTGTATCGTCTGTGTTCTGGGATATCACTAGGAGCCTGGAGGTCGACCCATTGGAATCGGTACTCCCGGAGGTCGCGCCTTGGGTCATTCGGGAGAAGATTTCGGCGGAGGTGATGGAGGAACTAGACTCGGGGGTGGAAGGCAGCAAGGGATCTTCCTCCTCATCCTCCTCGTCCTTCATGGGTGAGTCCTCCTCCTCCTCCGCGTTGACCAGGGAGGGTGGAGGAGATAGCGGCGTCACCTCCGGGTCCTGCCATATAACACAATGTAAATAAACACACAGCCACCTCTCTCTCTCTCTCCCTCTGTCACCCAGGTTGTGTATACTGTACCTCTATGAGTCGTTGCTGTTTTGAAGGCTGCATGAATAACCTAAACTAACCTAACTAACCTAACCAATCGAAACAGTGTCATGAATAAGGCGGTGAGGTGCGGTGAGGTGAAGTGAGGGCTGGTTAGCTCAAACTAAGGGCTGGTTGACTTAAGATACAGACTGACTCAGGCAAAGAATAATCGACTTAAACTAAGGGCTGGTGGACTGACTCAGACTGACAAAAAAAAGAGACAAAAAAAAATTGACTCAAACTAAGGGCTGGTTGAGGGGGGGATGGCTACCCTGCAGGAGACTCACAGAACGGCGGGGTAGGAGCAGGTGGTGGTGGTGGAGGTGAGGTGGTCGGGTGCGGCGGATGGGTCGAGCACTTCGCTCTACATCACTGTCATCACTCTCACTGCTGACACCTGCCTGTACCAACACGTAAACAGACAATAATCATCTCTACTACTACTACTTCTACTACTACTATTATTTCAACTACAACTACTATTACTACTACTTCTACTTGTTTTGTTTTTTTAATTATTGGCCTCCAGCCTCCCCCAATAGCCATACCTTTGCCACCATTTTATTACCTTAAAATTAAATATCCTAATACATAAGTAGCTATCCTAGCTGTGTTGAGTTAGTTGAGCCGCAGATCTATGCAGCATTCAGTGACTGTTGCCTCGTAGTCAATATCTGCAACTGTTGTCGGCTTTGGGGCCGATGCTCTCGTTCCCCTGAGGCAGAGCAAAGCCGACCTAAGGAGAGAGAAGGACAGTGGGACATCTCATCCAGGCTGTAATCATAACTTCTGGGCTGCTGCTTCTGTTCGGATATCACCTCTGCGAGTCTGGCGTAGAAGCATCTTGCACTTGCTCCCATCCCACCAGAGGTTGTGAACACCAGAGGAGTGAAGCTGCCGTGGTCAATGTCCTGAATTCTCTCCCCATATGCCCTTATCTTGTCGTTCTCGTTCCTCCTGTGTGCAGCATCGAGAGCTAAGTTACATTGACATGCGGCCATGTGATCAAAAATCCTGATGTTAAAGAAGGCTCCTGTCCCCGCGTCCAGAATCCTCGAGCACTGACGTCAACACGGGCTTCGTTGGATGTGTTGGAAGTCCTATGTTGGAAATTCTCACCGTCCAATGGAAGGAGGGTCGGTTCTACCCTGACATCACGGTAGATTTCCTTCAACATATTTGCTGTGAGATCCCTTACTTCGTCATGCCTCATGCATATGAAGCCCCCTTTCTTGCACACCATGGCGTGATCGACGTCATAGGAAGAGCCACACACGCATTGGGAGGGCAAACCTTCTACTGGCCGACCGTACCTTAGAGCATTGTCATCTGTAAATTCTTGTTTATTGAGACTGAAACCATTTGCCCTTATCAGTAACATAGTTAACCAGTTTGAGACGCCCATCTCCTGCGCTATAGTTAATTTTTTTCTTCAAATTCTCTGGTGCTTGCAGCAACAGTTGCTGCAACTTATAACTTTGGCCGTGCTGTCGTAATGGACCTTCGAATCTTGTTTACTTCACTGGTATCCACCTCCCCTGTTGCGTTCTGAGCTCTTATGTGGTCCGTGAGGGCTGCCGTAAGCTTAACTGAGTTTTGATGTTCGGTGGCAGCAAACTCCTCTGGATTGGTCAATACCATTCCTCCCAGTCTCGGTGGTAGTGCAAGGAGTGATCTTTCTGCTGAAGGTGTTTCACTAATTTGGGAATTAAATTGACGCTGATAGCTTCTTCCAGAGGGTGGAGAAGGGATCCAATATCAGGGATAGTGCACATCAGGTAGTTCCAGCGATGCTTGACTCCATGGGTGAATGGCGCAAAAGCCGCATGTGTTAGCAATCTCAGACAGAGTTTGGATTTCCCTAACCCACTCATTCACCTTTCCCGTTACGTACTCGGTCTTGAAGTCCGTCGTGACGATCACTGCGCCTAGGTGTCTTTGACCATCCTTTGTTATTTTGACCTCACTTCCACCGAACACCTTCATTGCCCGTTCATAATGATCTGGCTTCACAATGAGGAAGGACTTGCTGCTGTTTGGGTGGTACCCTATTTGTGGACCTCGTGATGTTACCAGGTCCCATCACTTTTTGATGTCCTCCACTTTTCCTGCTCCTGTAAGGTCGTCAGCGTACGCCACTTGCTTGACCTCAGTTGTTTCAAATTTTATTGTGTGCTGGAGCACGGATAGGCCTATTGCATACATTGCCATTGCAACAGGGTCCCCCTGCGTTGTTCCCTCGGTTGACTGTATGATGGTATCACCTCTTAGAGCCTTGTTGTTTACTATATAGAGGTCTGATGGATTCCTATAGGTGTTTTCAACATACATTGCAAAGCTTGGACACTTGATCTTGATGTTGTGCAGTACGGCCTTGCAGTTAAGTATGTTGAATGCGTTTGAAGCGTCCACCAGGAGAACGGCCTCAATCATGCTGCTCAAATATCGTTCTCATGGCGTGAATGGCGGCTTCCTCTCCAGCCTGGTGGCCAGCACACACCTGCAGGTTCCCTGCTGCTGCCCTGACATCATCCTTTACCACCTCCATTATGCATTTTCCGATGATCCGCCTCAGCACTTCCCCCACCCCTATAGGCCTACATCCTGGATTCTTATCCAGGGGAATGAGGCGGCAGGCCGTCAGAGCATGGAGGTGTTCGCAGCACGAGGATGCCAGCTTTCTTGCAAGGACGGCAATGGCAGTGCCGAGATCACTTGCTACGGGGCCAAACTTGTTAGTGCTGAGGATGACTCTCCAACCGTTTGCATCCAGACCTTAAGGGCCGGCCCCTCCCTGAGTCTTCAGTGCCTTTTTCCACACCATCCCTCTTGTTATTTTCTCGAACAAGACAGCATTTGTTGGGATATAGTCACCCAGGAACCTAATGCCTTCGTCATCACTTGCAGGGGGATGTTTTTCTTTCAGTTGTTTTAATGTCTCTGTTTATTGGCATCACCCCACCGGAGGATTCCTCTGTGAGAGATCTTACCGCCAAAGACACTTTTCCCACAAGCATTTTGTTTCCAAACTTTCTTGCAACGTCATCGGTGTTTTGCTTTCCGTCTCCTGTAAGTTTTAGTCTCTCCTGCAGTGTTCTTGCTTCACATAGGAGATCCTCAAGGGCCCAAGTCAGCCACATTGTCAATCTTCTCTTCATTGCTGCCACATTTTCTTTGTGCTTAGTCTTTGTGTGTGTCCTCTGACAGAATAGATGTGGTATTATTGCCAGTATATGAAGAGCTAAAGGGGCAAGGAAGCGGTCCTGAGTGTACTCAGTTATGAGGCAAATCATCTCCCGAATCATTTTTTTGGTGGCCGCACACTTGGGTGGTTCAAACAGGTTAGCTGGCGACCACCTGACAATTTCTGAGTAAGTTTCTTTAACCCATATGTCTGCATTTTCCATCGACATGCCATTCCACTGTGGTGGCTGTCTCTCCTTCACCTCGTGGACATCTGCTGCTACTACTACTTTTTTCTATAGATACAATAATTTGGCCTCCAAGCTCCCCTTATAACCACACCTACTACTACTACTACTACTACTACTACTACTACTACTACTACTACTACAACAACTACAACAACTACTTCATAAGAGACAACATATAAAGGGGATAGTTTTGAATAGTAAATAAGATACTTTTAACTGTTTTGTAGTATTGTAGTGATGATGTAGGGGCAGAAAGGTGACTACTCCGGCTTACCTGTGGAGAGATGGTAGTGAGTCCAGTTCGTCTTAATTTCTCCTCTCCCGACCGCTTGGGTGACCTGCCAAGATGGGTTACGTTTTAGTGTGGTTTTGGGGCAGTTTATCACACACCTGTCTCAATACATTATTCAATACTCACGCCACACCTGTCAATACTCACGATACAGTTTATCACACACCTGTCTCAATACATTAGTCAATACTCACGCCACACCTGTCAATACTCACGATACATCTGTTAATACTAGCTACAGCTGTCAATACTCGCACCACACCTGTTGATACTCACGCTACACCTGTTGATACTCACGCCATACCTGTCAACACACACCACACCTGTCAACACACACACCCCCACACCTGTCAACACACCACACTTGACAACACACCACACCTGTTAACCCACACCACACCTGTCAACACACCATACCTGTCAACACACACCACACCTGTCAACACACCATACCTGTCAACACACACCACACCTGTCAACACACCACACCTGTCAACCCACACCACACCTGTCAACACACACCACACCTGTCAACACACCACACCTGTCAACCCACACCACACCTGTCAACACACCACACCTGTCAACCCACACCACACCTGTCAACACACACCACACCTGTCAACACACACCACAGGGGACAAAATTAACATCCATACGAAATTTAATAACATTGCAAATATAAAAACCAAGTTAAAAATATATATAAATTTTAAATATTATAAAACTATAAAATAATTAAAAATAAATTTAAATCACATTATAAAATAAAATAAATAATTAAACAAACTTATAATAAAACAGGAAAACAAAAGTACAACAAAATCCTCTGAAATTATTTAATATTTTATCAAGAAAATTGTGAAAGGAATAAGACACAGGTATGTCCAAATTAAACAAAGGCATGTCCAAATTAATCCCACAGGTATGTCCAAATTAAACACAGGTATGACCAAACTGATGTAGCAAAACAGAGAGAAATGTGAATCTTACCTTGCCATTCCTCGTCAGTTTATGTATGTATGTATGTATGTATGTATGTATGTATGTATGTATGTATGTATGTATGTATGTATGGAACAATAACAAAACACCACACAAGGTTCACAGTAAAAGAAAAGACATTATCATAATATTAGACACTATATTACTAGCGAACCTCAATCATTATATAACACGGTGTATCAACCCTCACAGTAGGTAAGTTTTCCTTTAGTCTGAAATATAAAAAATCTATATCATGGTCGACAACTATTGATATACATAGACATTATAAATATATCAAGATAGCGTAGATGTATAAAGTGCTTATCTCAAGGGTCGTGTTGTAGAAATGGCACAAGGGGGGGGTATACAGGGCTATTGGGTTTGTTCTAGTAGGTGGGGTTAGTCCTAGTAGGGGTGCCAGTCCTAGTAGGGGCCAGGTAGGTCCAGGGTCCCAGTAGGGTAGCCCAGTAGGTGCCACCAGTCCCAGTAGGTGCCAGTCTAGAGGTGCCAGTTAGTCCCAGGTGCCACCAGTCCTAGTAGGTGCCACCAGTCCAGTAGGTGGGCCAGCAGTCCCAGTAGGGCCACCAGTCCCAGTAGGGCCAGGAGTCCTAGTAGGGCCAGGAGCCAAGTCAGGTGCCACCAGTCCAGAGCCACCAAGTACCACCAGTAGTAGGGCCACCAGTCCCAGTAGGTGCCACCAGTCCCAGTAGGGGCCACCAGTCCCAGTAGGTGCCACCAGTCCCAGTAGGGTGGGTAGCCAGTCCTAGTAGGTGCCACCAGTCCCAGTAGGTTTCCGTTCCAGTAGTCCCAGCCACCAGTCCTAGTAGGTGCCACCAGTCCCAGTAGGTGCCACCAGTCCCAGTGCCACCAGTCCCAGTAGGTGCCACCAGTCCACCAGTCCCAGTGGGGCCAATGAGTAGTGCCACCAGTCCCACCAGTCCCAGTAGGGCCACCAGTCCCAGAGGGGCCAGGAGTCCCAGGTGCCACCAGTCCCAGCAGGTGCCACCAGTCCCCACCAGTCCCAGTAGGTGCCACCAGTCCCACCAGTCCTAGCAGGTGCCACCAGTCCCCACCAGTAGTAGGTGCCACCAGTCCTAGTAGGTGCCACCAGTCCCAGTAGAGTGTCACCTCAGTCCCAGTAGGTGCCACCAGTCCCAGTAGGGGCCACCAGTCCTAGTAGGGGCCAGGAGTCCCAGGTGCCACCAGTCCAGTGCAGCAGTGCCACCAGTCCCAGTAGGTGCACCAGTCCTAGTAGGTGCCACCAGTCCTAGTAGGTGCCACCAGTCCTAGTAGAGTGCCAGGAGTCCCAGGTGCCACCAGTCCTAGTAGGGGCCACCAGTCCCAGTAGGGCCACCAGTCCTAGTAGGGGCCACCAATCCCAGTAGGGGCCACCAGTCTCAGTAGGGGCCACCAGTCCCAGTAGGGCCACCAGTCCGAGGGCCACCAGTAGGGGTCCAGGTGCCCCAGTAGTAGGTGCCACCAGTCCCAGTAGGTGCCACCAGTCCTAAAGTAGTAGGGGCCACCAGTCCCAGTAGGTCCACCAGTCCTAGTAGGTGCCACCAGTAGGGGCCACTAGTCTAGTAGGGGCACCAGTCCTAGCAGGTGCCACCAGTCCTAGTAGGTGCCACCAGTCCTAGTAGGGGCCACCAGTCCTAGTAGGGGCCACCAGTCCTAGTAGGTGCCACCAGTCCTAGTAGGGGCCACCAGTCCTAGTAGGTGCCAATTGTAACAAGCCTCACCCTAACCTAACCCATCAGATGTGAGACCCAATAACACCCCCATCTTAACAACCAGATCACCCATAATTACACCCCATTATCTAACACTAAGACTGGGGCATATCTGAATGGCACGAACAACCAATCACAACTAGGATTGACCTTAACTGACCAATCACCACTCAATACACTAGTGACAATATACCAACCCACATGGAACAATATTCTACTGGGAGTGTTAAAATAAAAATGGAGTTTCGGTCAGTATTTTTTTAGTTGATGAGAAGAGTGGTGTGTGCCCTTAACATGGCCACTACTACGAGCCACAATATAATAGGTAAAATATCTCATGAATTAGAATATATATATTGTTATGGAAATATAGATAAGGGTATAATAATAATCTTTTCTCTTTTTCTTTTATATATAATGGTTAAAAGTAATGGGTGTAGGTTAATTTGGGCTCCAGTTTAATGACGATTGATGTGTCATTATGCTTAGGGTTCCATTAAGTCTGGGTCCAATAAGATTGAGGTCTATTAGTTCTAGGGTCCATTAAAACTGGACCCCGATGCTAATGTCTCGGTCAGGTTGTACCTAGTGTCTATTAGAAATGGGGGTGATTAGATTGGATCCCATTAGAACTGGGGCCCATCAGAAGAGGGATCCATTACACTGGGGCCCATCAGAAGAGGGATCCATTAGAACTGGGGCCCACCAGAAGAGGGATCCATTAGACTGGGGTCCATCAGAAGAGGGATCCATTAGACTGGGGCCCAAGTTAACTCCCAGGCCACACAGTGGGTGGTGACAACAACGTGAGCAACTACGAGTGGAAGGCAAGGCTGACCCGGGGGTCGACTTGTGCGGAAGTGGTTACTGTTAGAGGGGCCGTCACACGAGGCACTGTCCCTCCGTCACACGAGGCACTGTCCCTCCGTCACATGAGGCACTGTCCCTCCGTCACACGAGGCACTGTCCCTCCGTCACACGAGGCACTGTCCCTCCGTCACATGAGGCACTGTCCCTCCGTCACACGAGGCACTGTCCTCCGTCACATGTCCCTCCGTCACACAAGGCACTGTCCCTCCGTCACACGAGGTACTGTCCCTCCGTCACACAAGGTACTGTCCCTCCGTCACACACTGGTACTGTCCCTCCGACACACGAGGCAAATTTACGTACAGTGTTTGATATCAAGTAGAGCAGTTGTGTACAGCCTCAAGGGGCTAGTACAGTGTCAGGGGCTAGTACAGTGTCACGAGCTAGTACAGTGTCACGAGCTAGTACAGTGTCACGAGCTAGTACAGTGTCACGAGCTAGTACAGTGTCACGAGCTAGTACAGTGCCTCGTGTGATTGTCCCCACACATACATTACTAAATATATATAAAGGCAAATTGTGAAATCCGGCAACTTAAATATGTGTGACCACCATTTGTATCACAACAATGTTACACAAAAGGCGATGATCTATGACTTCCAAACTGCATACAATGTTTTCTTGTTTCAGGACATAATATTAAACTAGCTTATAAGGAGGTCATGTCAGGTCAGGCCAGGCCAGGTCAGGTCGGGTCGAGTTCAGTGTAAAAAATAATAAAATACTTCACAAACCTCAGCTGAATAATATCATCTAACGTAAGGTAACATAACTTAACCAAACCACAACATATACAAGTCATATAATTATAATGAATGACAACATTTCAGGGGAGCATCCAGTGGGAGAGGGGGGGGGGGGCGATCCTGGTTGTCCGGACCCCCCCTCCTTTTCATCATAAAATTCCAATACTTTTTCTTTAATACAGTATTGTACTCAGGGTTTTGGTATAGTAAAATGTAATTACTATTGACCTCAGAATATCTCCTAATATCAAGTGCACATGGCTTCAAAATGCCCTTGATATTGGTCAATTAAAAAATAAATAAATAAAAAATAAAACTGGGTGGGCTCGCTGTGTTCCTCCACCCACAATTTCTTGGACCCCCTTTTCTTATTCCTGGATCCGCCCCTTCATTTATCACTGGTAGTTTACAGTACAGTGTGTCGAGTCATTTTTAAACTGACTGATTTTACAATTTGCCTGTACAATATATATAAACACATGAGGCACTACAGCTCCTCCTCACTCCAGTCTACTCTTGTGTTTCTGTTTAGTACACAAACACCCCACCGCACCCTAACACCGGACCCTAACACCACACCCTAACACTCTTCAGGCGGTGTTCACGTCATCAGCTCAGGGCCACAGCTAACTTCCAGGACCCTGACCCGAATTTCCACACTGGTGAGGTCAGGTGTGATTAGGGATAAGGTAGCTGAGGTTTAGGGTAGGGTA